TATTTTTAGTAGAGACGGGGTCTCGCTCTTGCTCAGGCTGGCCTCGAACTCCTGAGCTCAAGCAATCCTCCCGCCTCGGCCTCCCAGAGTGCTAGGATTACAGGTGTGAGCCACCGCGCCCGGCCTATATTCAGTTTTGACACATAGCCCATGAGTATTAAATAAAAAATTCACTTACTTGTCAAAGCTTATTTGAGCTAATCCAGCTGTAAAAGCTCCATCATCAACCACTTGGGCTAATCTGGCCCACGCCTCTGCAGCTGCGCATCTCAGCAGGGGGTTGGTACTTTCTAGGCCTCCCATAACTAATGTTAGGGCAAGTCTTCTCACTTCTTCTGGACCTAAACTTCCCTTGGAGCCAGCCACATACTGAAATATGTAAAGAACAACCCAAACTTACAATTGTAGTAAATTCTTTTATCTAGTTTGGAATGTATATTCTGGTTAACCAAATATGTTCATACTTAAATTGCAACTTTAAAAAATCAGAACACAAAAATCCATGCTGATCATACAAACACAATTTGATTTTTTTTTTCCACAAAGCACTCTAGAATTTTAAACCTCTAAGCAACAATATGGCAATCAATTATCACTGAGGTGTAAATGTATTCAGAACATTAATAGAAATATTCATAAAATGAACAACCAATGAAGCCTATTATATTTTACTGTACTTAGAAACAATAAGTCATAAATGTAACAACAAGTCAGATTTGGTCCACAGGCCATAGGCCATCAATCCCTAATGCATGGCTCTCAGCTCAGACTATAGGTTTCATTTCTGACTAGTAAGTTTTATGTGGAGAAAAAGTCAAAGGAGAATTCCAAATCCGGAAACATTTTCATCAGGAGATTAAGAAAAATGAAAGAACATCATCCTCGCTTTCTGCTATAGGTGGTTGCTGTTGAAATGGGCAAGTTCATGAAAGCTGGGAAAGTGGTACTAGTCCTGGCCAGATGCTGCTCTGGATGCAAAGCCATAATCATGAAGAACACGGATGATGGCACCTCAGACCACCCCTATAGCCATGCTCTGGTGGCTAGACTTGATCACTATCCCCACAAACTGACAACTGCCATGGGCAAAAAGATCACCAAGTGGTCGAAGACCAAGTTTTTTGTGAAAGTTTGTAACTACAATCTCACCTCATGTCCACAGGTACATATGGAAATCTCCTTGGACAAAACTGTTGTCAACAAAGGATGTCTTTCAAAACCCTGCTCTTTTTTTGCAGACGAAGTCTTGGTCTGTCACGTGGGCCAGAGTGTAGTGGCATCACCATAGGTCACTGCAACTTTAAATTCCTGGGCTCAAGTGATCCCTCTGCCTCAGACTCCTGAGTCCCTGGGACTATAGGAATGCGCCACCACACCTGGCTAATTTTTCCTATTATATTTTTAGTAGAGACAGGGGTATTGCTCTTGCTGAGGCTGGTCTCAAACTGCTGAGCTCAAGCGTTCTTCCCGCCTTGGCCTCCAAGAGTGCTAGGATTAGAGGTGTGAGCCACCATGCCTAGCCAGAGCCCCAGCACTTAAGCACGAGACCTGATGGGAAGCCAAAGTTAAGTTTGAAAAGAGGTACAAGATGGACAAGAACAAGTGGTTCTTCTAGAAGCTGCAGTTTTAGATGTTTTTTGTTTCAGTCATTAAAAAATATAAATAAATAAAAAGCAAATATTTCAAAATTTTTAAAAAAAGAATTACCTTCAGGAAACTAGAAACTGAAGAAACAACATGTAACTGAACTACTTGCTGACGAACTCCTTTTGAGTGCTTTATACTGTCCAAAAGCTGTTCCAACGTAAGAATCCTAAAATCAGAAGCAATAAGATTTAAAAGTAGATAAAACTTGCTAATAAAGAACAAAATAAACCAAAGGGCAGTACCGAGTATCTACTGCTAATTTGTTTTGTTGCATTATTTTGTTGGAACTACTAAAAGGAGATAAACTGCCCTTGAATATCTTGATGTATTTTAGGAAAAGAAATATATTATAACTAACAGAAAGATAGTTTGATTATGGGTTATTCTGAGAGTAGGGAAGAAGCATTATTTTGTGAAAAAAATTACAAATGCATTACTTAATAAAGATTGTTTTTTAACCTGCATCTCTGGCAAGTAATAAAGATTTTACCTGGGCAAACTGTGCCATTTCAGTTAAGTATTTCCTAAACAAAACATATCTACAAGTTACTTGCATCAGCTTTTTTGGTCTCTTCCCCCCACTCTGGTATCTTTATTTTTCCTAAAACATGGATACAATTCATTCCTAAAGCAGGGAAGTTCTCAATACTATTTAAATCTCATACTTTAGGTTTTTTAAACTTGAAATATTGCAGTATTTGTAAATGTGAGAATACACATTCCAATAACAGGAAAACTATATTTGAGATAATACTAACAAATTTATTCAATACTAATATAACTACACAAAAATTTATATGTAACACATAGCCTTTAATATCACAGAATTTGGCCTTCTTATAGGCAGCTTACATATAAACAAAGTTACTCTTTGCTTTTCTGTCTTAACCAGTATGAAGTATTACAACCAACAAACCTTTCCCTGCAGCTTTTTAGTAGGTACTTAAGACAGACGACTCCTCTTCTTAGGGAGAGGAAGAAAAAAACCTCAATGCCCACCCACGAAAAAAAAAAAAAGCATTCACCCACAATTATCAAATTCTCATTCAGTTTCAGCAGATTGAACACCAGAAACATTATGGGGAACTCTGAAATCTTTCCCCTAAACATTTCTATAGAAGTTTCAGTACTGATCAACATTTTTGTTCTTAATCTCAGGACTCACTGGATTCAAATACATTAATTCATCTTAAAGTTAGCACCAATTTATGTCTTCTATAGTTAAGGAGAAGCAGCACAGCCCTTTGAACCCCCAATTATACTTTAAAAATATACTTGGGATCATACTATATATACAATTTTAACTTTTGCTTTTCTCATTTAACATTACCTTTTTAACACTTTTCAAATCATTTTTATTCTTTGATAACCTTTGTGAACCCAAATTTCATGATACACAAGTACTATAATCTATTCAATGATTCTCCTACTTTTAAGAAAACTTTTCCAGTTTTCACAATTCTAATTATGATGAATATAAACAATGTTTTTTTTGTCTGGGGTTGAATATGTCCATTAGCTATCTGAGTATCTTCTGTCAATTGTTTTTCGTGTCCTTACAGCACAGAGATTTTGATTCCTTATGTCAAGATTAAAGATATGTAACCATGAAATAAGCCACCCATCTTTCCATCAATTTCTCCTTTTAAAACATTGGTTTTTTAGCTCCATAGTTCCTTTCTCTTCTTTTCTCCCTTTAAATCAAGAAAGGGGAAACTATGTTGAAGATAATTTTTTTGGTTGTGAATTATCTTGATGGCAGGAATAGTGGCTTATAATTTACCTTCATCCCTCTAGTATCTGTGTTTAGCATGTAGTAGGCAGTCAAATGTGCTTGTTGAGCAATCAAAAAAGACAACTACCTTGAGTAGGTAAAAAGAGGGCATGACCCAGGCTGAACATGGCATATGGATATGACTTTACCTGACCCTAATGTACTTTCAATAATATCTTTAACTAGATCTCTATCATTCTGTTGAGGCTATAAGGCAAGCTATGCTCCAAATGGCAATTCTGTTATTAAATCAGGATATGGGGATTGTGCCTTTAAGAAATCCAACTGTACAAGAAGTTAGAGAAAAAAGGAAGGTGTGTAAATCACATGTGTATCATATGTGTTGGGAAAAGCAGTATGTATAAATTTATAA